ACGTGTGCGTGCGGTGTGCGTGTGCGTGCAAGCGCGTGCCTGTGTGTGCGTGTGCGTTCGTGTGCATGCGCGTGCTGTGTGTGCGCGCGCGCGCGTGTGTGCGTGCGTGCGTGCGTGCGTGCGTGCGTGCGTGCGTGCCTGTGTGTGCATGTGCGTGCGTGCATGTGTGAGCGTACGTGTGGTCATGTGCGTGCGTGCGCGCGCGCGCGTGTGTGTGTGTGTGAGGATGTTCGTATGAGTGAGTGAGTGAGTGAGTGAGTGAGTGGTTGAGTGAGTGCGTGAGTGAGTGGGTGAGTGAGTGGGTGAGTGTGTGGGTGAGTGAGTGGGTGAGTGAGTGGGTGAGTGAGTGTGCCTGTAGTATGCTTGTCATTATGCTTGCGATACGCAATGTATCACTCGTTCACTCACTCACATACACACGCGCGCGCGCGCGCGCACGCGCACACACACACACACACACACACTCACACCCACAACGAAATTCAATTCCGACCAATCTAACTCCATGCAGTTCATATTAGGAAAAATTAAAACCATAATTTCAGCTAATGACAACAATATTTTAAATTGGAAATAACTTAACGAAAAATGATCGCATTGAGCTCAGTAAAGAACTATTTTAAAGATAACACTTTTCCTGGCAGAATAATGATCTTCAATTATCAATTTTACATCTTCTTACTTTGTTATCTGCCAAAGATAATCTTACCTCCAATAGAGTAGTATTAATTTGAGTAGTAGTATTTTGTAATGTCTTGTCAGTATTTTTGTAGTTAAATCAAACTTTAAAATTGCTTATAAGAGACACTGGATGGATTTATGTATATAAATTTATTCAAGTGTGACAAATGTAATATACGTTTCGATTGCCGTTTAGATCCTTTTGAATAATAGTCCTACCACGTAGGATAGTCTACCACTATTATTGAAAAGGATCCAAATGGCAAATCCAATCATATATTACATTTGTAATACTTGAATAAACTTATATACACAAATCCATCCAATGTCGGCTCTTATAGGTAATTTCATTTAAGTTTGATTTAATTCGCTAGAGCTTTGTTATTAATCTATTTTTGTACTTTTTTGCTTATGTTATTATCGTAAAATTATTAGCGCTTAAATTTTGTCCATTCTACTTAATAAAATACTGTTTAAGTTAAGTAATACTGTTTAAATACTGTTAAGTAATACTGTTTAAATACTGTTTAAGATTTAGTCCTTAGTTCTTTACTTGTACTTTCAATTTCATAGTTTGATTTAATTCGCTAGAGGGAACTTGGTTATTAATCTGTTTTTGTACTTTTTTGCTGATGTTATTATTGTAAAATTATTAACACTTAAATTTTGTCCATTCTATTTAATAAAATACTGTTTAAGTTAAGTAATACTGTTTAAATACTGTTTAAGATTTAGTCCTTAGTTCTTTATTTGTATTTTTCGATCAATCAATAATATCTAAATTTTGCGATACAGTTCCGAGCGCTTTGCAGGCGCTGCTGTGCTACGCGGGAAGTGCTATAAATGTGCTATAAAACTGCATTTATTTTGCGTTGATTATTTGCGCTAATAGTGCGTTTTTTATAGTGGATTTTGATAGCGCTTTTAAAGCGCTAAAAAACTGCTAGATTTATGCACCCGCAGAAGCGCTTTTTTAACGCTTTTTAAGCGCTGATGTGCTACGTGGGTTGACTGCGAAACGTTTCACAGATCTTCGATAAATTACCACCATTAAGTCAACCTCCATTGAAGTTGACTCGTCGCGTCCGAGCGCGCTCAGACATTTTTCGCTATGTCTCTGACAATTTTCAAGGAATGTTTGCAGGGGATATTCTCAAGACTCCATACTTTTCGAATATGCAAAAAACGAAAAATGCATTTTTTCAAAATTTCTAAGTATACAGGGTGCGGCGCCAAAATCCGGACAAATTTCAAGTTGAAATTCCCTTCGTTCAATACCATTGGTAGATGTCGCGATTGGCATTCAAATAGCTTGACGCATGTACTAAACCATCATAACCTCGAAACAGTCGCAATGTTGAAACCAAGTGCGGAGTATAACCGAAGAGCCGCGATTATCGAAAGTATTCGCGCCGGGCGCTTGGCGACAGAAATCATTCGGTTCTTCGGGTATCCGAGATCGACTGTGTATGATATCTTCGCAAAGTACCATGAGTCGGAGAAGTCTAACGAAGGTTCTGCAACACGGCGAGGAAATTCCACTCGAAGGAATGTGTTATCAGGACGCCCGACATCATTCAACGGGCTCAGGAGCTGATTTTTCAGGATCCAGGGCAGTCGATCCGAAAATTGTCGTCGGTTGTTGGTGTGAGCGAGAAAACTATGCGTCGAATCGTCGAAGAGGACTTTCGCTACAAGTCTTACACAATTAAAGTGAGATAGATGCTTTCCGAAGCCGCTAGGACAAAGCGAGTTGAACGCTGCAACCTGCTTTTGTGTTCCTTAAAATACAATGCTGCCGGACGACTCAAGTTTTTTTCTGACGAGAAAATTTTTACTGTGGATGCGAAAATCAATCGAAGGAATGACCGCTGGCTCGCCCCTGAAGATGTCCCCATTGTTGCAAGAACGAAATTTCCGGCGAATGTTCACGTGCTAGGTGTTGTGTCCAGTGAGGGAGATGTCATGCCACCGCATTTTTTTAACAAAGGGAAAAATGTCACAAAAGAAGTTTATTTGCGTGTTCTGACAAATGTAGTAAAGCGGTGGATGGAAGCTGTGTTGTCTGGAAAGCCATATGTTTTCCAGCAGGACGGTGCGCCCGCCCACACAAGTCATTTGGTTGTCGGACAACGTCGACATGTTTTGGTCGAAAGAATTCTGGCCTCCCAACAGCCCAGATTTGAATCCTTTGGACTTCTACGTATGAGGCGTGGTTGAAAGGGTCACGAACAAGTCTAGACATCCAAACGTCGCATTATTGAGAGCCGCTATTGAAGCGGCATTCACCGATATGGATCGTGACACATTAAAGCGTGTCTGCGCACGCATCAGACCGAGAATGGAGGCGGTCATTCAAGCAAGCGGGGGATATATTGAGTGAATATGTTCTTTATGGCCTTACAAACAATGGAGGTAAACAAATTTTGTAAACCTTTTCATTGTAGCAATAAAACATATGTTTAGAAAAAAATGTATAATTTGTCCGGATTTTGGCGCCGCACCCTGTATGTAGCCCCTTAATTTATTAGGTTGATGCAAAAATAATGTTGATTTTTAGTATATATGTTATGTATGTATGTATATTTGTTATTTCCCTCAGGATTACACATTATTTACAAATTTACATATACCTCTTATACTAACTTAGAACTAACTTACTCTACTTAACCTAACCTAACCCTAACCCTACCCTACCTACATCTATTCCCCCTCCCTCCCTCCCTCTCTCGCTCCCTCTCTCTCTCTCCCTCCCTACCTCTCCCCCCTCTCTCTTCTATTTACACGCGCTCTCTCATTCTACCCCTTCCGCCTTTCCCTATGAACTTCCGTTTCAGGTTACATTTTGCCTTTCCATACTCTCTCTCTCTCTCTCTCTCTCTCTCTCTCTCTCTCTC